TATATATAGAGAGAGAGAGAGAGGGGTACCTAGAGAGAGAGAGAGAGAGGGGGGACCGAGTACTTTTTTTTTTTTTTTAATTTGTGAAAAAAATTATAAAAATATAATGATATTTTTAATATTAAATACAATAACACAAAAGATAAATGAGACCCTTAGTATCGGACAAATAGAGTATTTTTGTGTAGGAGGGAAGATAAAATAGAATAATTTTAATATTTAGTCCATATATTATATACTTCCTCAATCCCATAATTTAATCTTAATTGGATTGGGCACTGAATTTAAGAAATATTGATATTATATTGGTAGTAGGTAAAAAGTGCATATAAAAGACTTTTTTGCCCTTGTGAGTATATTAGTGTAAAAAACAGTGACAATTGTATAATAAAAATGAAAAAATAGGGATAGTTTTACGGTGATATTATTATTTATGAAAATAAGACTATTGTTTTGGGACGGACAAAAATGGTAAACAAGACTATTGTATTGGGACGAAATGGACTATATAAATAAAAAAAATAAAAGTAATTTAATAAAATTCGATTAATTTATTCATAAAATATGATACAAAATTTATTTGTCCAATATAATAAGCAAAATTTACATTATTACTCATAGGAGAAACCAAACACTATATACATTAGATATGTATTAAACATGTCAATAAAGATAAACAATGATTTCATGTACAAATAGTAACAACATAATAAAATTATATAATTAAAGTATATTATAAAAATATACTTAAACTAAAATAATGTAATTCATTTTAGATCATAAAAATAAATATTTATTGAAATTAAAATACAAATAAATAAGAATGTTATATATAAAATTTATATATAAAAATCAATTATAAAGATTAATTCTAATAATTTATGCTAATTTAAATATATTTAGTTAATTAAGTCAATTATTTAAACTAAATCTATTTATTTAAAGCTAAAAAATAAATTTATAATTATTTATTAAAATAAATTTGATTAAAAAACTTTAATTAAAAATATTCCAAAATATATAATATTATAATTTAAATATATGTATAAAATATGTTAATATTTATTTGATGTAATGAAAAATAAAAAATAAATAAATATTAAAATTTTGAAGATGTTACAAAATTTCTAATAAAATACTTAAAATGTATAATATGTAATTAGATAAAAATAATAATAATAAAATTTCTTCCTTCCAAATTTTTCCAAATTAGAGGGAACAAAAATTAGAAGAAATTGTCTCTCCTCCCTTTTAAACAAAACATAAAAGATTTTATACATTTTTTTTCTCATAAACCCTGAAACCAAACAAACCTTATAGTGTTTTGATTTGAATTTTTTTTATGTGAATTATAAGAAATTATGTCGGTATTATAAAAAATAATATTTTATGTTGAATGTTGACTTTTGTGAAAGGATAAATATATATATTGAAAATCGTGTCGAGAGAAAAAATTTGGCTGAACAAACCCATATTTTCAAATTTTTTTCTAAAATACTCCCTCCGTCTCAGATACCGTGTCTGCTACACTGTAGACACGGTATTTTAGGAGGGGTGTAATTAGTAGATAATTAAGAATGTATTAGTGAAAATAATTATCCTATAATATAAATAATTATAAATTAAGATTAAGATTAAAAAATTTAAAATGAGATTAAAGTGTGTAATCATTTTCCAAAAAAGAAAAGTGATATGGTATGTGGGACGAACAGAAACGGCAACGTGGACATGGTATCTGGAACGGAGGGAGTATTAATCTATCCGTCCCACATTTTTTGTTCACTATTTCTATTTTCTTTCATTCCATATTATTTGTTATTTCCTTTTAGAAAATATGATTATACACTTTAATCGCACTTTAAATTTCATAATTTATAATAATTTTTTTAATTTAAATTTTAATTATACTATATAATTATCTTAATTTTAATATATAATTAATTTTATTATACAATAATTATTTTTACTAATACATTTTTTAATCAGTTACTTTAATTCTCGTATTTATAGTAAACTGGACATAAAATGTGAATTGGGGGAAGTATATTATATAGGACCCATTCGAAATATATTTAATATTTTTTATTTTTATTTCTCTTTTTAATAAATAAATATATTTGTATACATTTAAAGCTCTCAATTTATTCGAAAAATATTGTATATTAATTATAAATAAATATTTATATAGGTATTATGTATTTGTATTATATAAAAAATTATTTTTTATAAAGTAATATTTATATTTTATATATTTTTATTAAAATATGATTATTAAAATAATTAAATAAATATTTACAAAATTTTAATTCTATATATATTAAATCATAAATATTAATTAAATAAAATACTTCTAACTCATTTTTTTTTAAAAAAAAAACTCGATAGGTAATCAAAAGATTTAAATAATTTGAATATATTATATTTCATTGTTACATAATAAAATATTTATTTTTTCATTTTAGACCGTTCCATAATAAAGTATTTATTTTTTTTTTAGTAACTGTACTATCTATTTAACATTACAAATACCCTTACAACTTACAATATATTACACAAATGTCATTACTTTTATATCACACATACTAATAATGTTATTTTAGTCATTTTTACTTTATTTTTACTACTTCCAAATATAATACTAATATTTCTAAAACTACGTATAAAAATGAAATGAATATCTCGTTGTGGAACAAAGGGAGTAATAAGTATTTTAAAATAGTACTCCCTCCGTCCAGCTAGAAAGTATACATGTTTCTATTTTGGGACGTCCAATTACAAAGTAACTATTTCATTAAATACCCCATTTTTTTTTTATAAATACCCCTGCTTTACATCACATCATTACTTTTATACCAAAAAAGTAAGGGCAAAAATGTCATTTCACTACTTTTATTTACCCACTATAATTAAAATACTATTATTCCTTAATCTCCGCATCAAAAGTAAATGTATACTTATTTAGTAAACGGAAGGAGGAGTATATAATAAGTATTTTAAAATAGTATACTCTGTAACGAAGGTACTATTTGGACTCCACTTGAATTGATTGTTCCCGTACTCTCTCAATTATTCAATACCATAATCAGAAATTTTGAGGTTAAAGAGATTTACATTGACTATGTTGTTAGAATAATTATGGAAACTTTTGTTTGGGTGTTTGGATTTTGAGTTGGAATTTGAATAGTAAAAAATTTGAATTTGAATAGTTGTATAATGTGATATAAATATGTGTTGATGTGATGTTTTGAATATAAAATTGATTTTTAATATAATATAAAAATAAAAAATAAGTATTTGATTTGATGTTTTTAGGGGAAAAAAATTGGATGAACAGTGGATTTAAAATCCAATCCTTCAAACAAACACACCCTAAATTAATATGTATATAGTTCAATATAATATACTACTCTCTCTATTCCAGAACTATAGTCTTTATTGGATTGGAATATTGATATTATATTAGTAGTCGGTAAAAAAGTATAGATAAAAGATTTTTTTGCCCTTGTGAGAGTATTAGTGTAAAAAGTAGTGATAATTGTGTAATAAAAATGAAAAAATAGAGGTAGTTTTATGGTGATATGATTATTTATGGAAATAAGACTATTGTTTTGGGACGTACAAAAGTGATAAATAAGACTATTGAATTGGGACGGAGAAAGTCGTATTTAAAATCAGATTACAAGTATTATTTCTATTTCTATTATCATTATTATTAAATAAAAATAATAAGCATATTAATTCAATATAATATACTCCCTCCATCCAGGTCAAGATGACCCCTTTGTTTAAGGACACCGTATTTTTGGTAGTGTAGATCAGTAAGTTATTAATAATAAGTTATGATATTATTTTATTATTTTTATACGAGTAGTGTTGTTGCCATTTTAAATATTTTAAATATTATATATCAATAAAATATATACAATATGGATATCATTTTGTAGAGAATAAAATTTTATATAATACAAATAAATAAGAAAAATAATTTATATATTTATAATTAACTTAAAACTAATTTTATTTAAAATAAGAAGTTTTAAATATTGAGAATTTATTGAAGAGAGAGATAAAAATAAAAGATTTTTGAGTGATCCCATATATAAGAGATTATAAATTTAATTAAATTGATTTATGTTTGTTAAATATATTTAAGATGAATAAATTTATTAAAAATAAATAAAAATCATCTTGGACCTGACAAAAAAAAAAAATGATCATCTATTGCGGAACAAGGGAGTACTACTGTTTAAAATCAGCTTACAAGTATTATTTTTATTTCTATTTCTATTATAATTATTATTAAATAATAATAATAAACAATCCTCCGGGTTATTGTAAGAAAAGTTGAAAGGCTTCTGTGTTTCTTGCAGATGAGTTTGAAAATTACTATTTATTTGAATTTTATATTAAAATAATATTTAAATAAATATTTTTTAATAAAAAATATGTTTTTTTTTCTGAAAAAACACAGTAAAATTTTTTATTTAAATTTAAATTTTTATTTAAAATATAATTTAAATATTCTCTTAATTTAATCTATAGTGTTCACATTACTATTTTTTTAAAAAATTATATTAATTAAAATATATTTAGATTGAATAAATTTAGTGAAAACAAATTCATGTATTATGAAAAAGATAATGATAAAATATTTATATAAGGACGGATAACGTATAAAATTAATTTTAGTAAGATATATAATTAGTAAATAATTAAAAATATATTAATAAAAATAATTATTATATAATAAAAGTAATTTTAAATTAAAATTAAAATAATTAATTAAAATTTTAAAAATTATAATATGAGATTATTGGGTATAATTATATTTTAAAAAAAAAATAATTGAAAGGAAAAAGTAAATAAATAAAACACACGAAAATAAAAAAATGAGCACGGGAAGGAGGAGTAATATTTTAAATTAAAAAAAAAAAGTTAATAATTTTGAAGTTAAAATAAATAAATAAAATTTAGGATGAGTTTCGTGACAAGCTAAGGGCCACAAACTGAACTACTTCACTTCTCTCTCCTCTCCCTCATCTGTTGTTAGTTTCTCACTCCTAAAAATCCTAAAGCAGTGAGCTTCTTTACTCATCAATGGCGGCCTGTGACATCTCTACCAATCCCACCGCTCCCATCAATATCTCAAGATTCCAATTCCACTCCTAACCTTCCCTCCCCAATGCCCCACCACCACTTCTGATCCAAACGCCGCCGCCGCGCCGCCGCCCCTCTCTCTCTCTCTCTCTCTCAATATACAAATACATACACATATACATATATCTACTCTCTCTTTGTGTGAATATGGGAAAGGAGAGAGAACGAAAAGCCCTGCGGCTGCTGTCTTTCATTCTCTCACTCACAACCCTCGCCGGCGCCGTCGACGTCGCCGGCGCCGGAGAAGGCATCCAGCTAAACGACGACGTTTTGGGACTCATCGTCTTCAAATCAGGGCTTCTAGACCCTTCCAAATCCCTAGATTCCTGGACCGAGGACGACGACTCCCCCTGCGCCTGGGACTTCGTTCGTTGCACCGCCCGGAGCCGCCGCGTATCGGAGCTCCACCTCGACGGCCTCAATATCGCCGGAAAAATCGGCCGGGGCCTGGAAAAGCTACAATCGCTTAAAATCCTCTCCGTCTCCGGCAACAATCTCACCGGCCGGATTAACCCCGAGTTACCACTCATCCCCGGCCTCCAAACCCTGAATCTCAGCCGGAATTCCCTCTCCGGCGACGTCTCCAACCTCTCCTCCTCCCTCCAGATCCTCGACCTCTCCGGCAATTCCCTGTCGGGGCTCCTCGCCGGAGACGTGTTCGACGGCGGCTGTTCGCTCCGGTACATCTCTTTATCGGGGAATCAATTCCAGGGCCCGATTCCAGGCAGCCTGTCGGAATGTATGGTCCTGAATCATCTCAATTTATCGGGAAATCGCTTCTCCGGCGGCCTCGATTTCGCCGGAATCTGGAATCTGACGAGGCTCCGGGTACTGGATCTCTCCGGCAATGCGCTGTCTGGGCCAATCCCCGCCGGCGTCGCTCGTCTGCACAATTTAAAAGAGCTTATCCTCGGTGGAAATCAGTTCTCCGGCGCCGTTCCCGGCGACATCGGATTGTGCCCTCACTTGACACGTGTCGATCTCAGCAACAATCTCCTCACCGGAGAAATTCCCGAGTCGCTGCAACGGCTGGACTCGCTCGTTTTTCTGAGTTTATCCCACAACTTCCTCGCCGGAGACTTTCCCCGATGGATCGGAAAGATGACCGCTCTGCAATTCATTGATTTTTCCGGCAATGATTTGACGGGGTCACTTCCGGCAACCATCGGAGACCTGAAATCCGTGAGGTATATCAGCTTATCCGACAACAGACTAAGCGACGCCATACCGGAATCCATGGCAGACATCGCAGGATTATCGGTGATTCGACTGAAAGGAAACCTCTTCACTGGCAGCATACCGGAGGCCCTTTTCGACATGAACCTCGATGAAGTCGACCTGTCTAGAAATAATCTGACCGGACCGATCCCCCCTGCCTCCGACAAGCTTTTCGAGTCACTCCAGCTATTGGACCTCTCTGGCAACAATCTCATCGGAGATATCCCGGCGGAGATGGGCCTTTTCGGCAAGCTAAAGTATCTGAACCTGTCGTGGAACGAATTGGAATCGAGAATCCCGCCGGAGCTCGGCTACATCCAGAATCTCACCGTTTTGGATCTCCGGAGCAGCGGCTTGATCGGAATGATCCCGCCGGATATTTGTGATTCCGGCAGCCTGGCGATCCTTCAGCTCGACGGAAACTCCCTGACAGGGCCGATTCCGGCGGAGATCGGCAACTGCTCGTCGCTCTACTTGCTGTGAGTTGTAATATGTTCGTCTTTTAATATATAATCAATCGGTCGTTCATCGTAATCCTTAGTCGGAAACTGATCGGAGATGTTATCTACGGCAGGAGCTTATCCCACAACAATCTCACCGGCGGCATACCAGAATCCATGTCGACGTTACGGAAGCTTAAGGTTCTTAAGTTCGAGGAAAACCAATTGAGTGGCGAGATCCCTCGAGACCTCGGAAGGCTCGAGAATCTCGTCATCGCCAACATCTCCCACAACCGCTTAGTCGGCCAGTTGCCGGCCGGAGGCATTTTTCCGACGCTCGACGCCACCGCCATAGACGGGAACCTCGGCCTATGCTCGCCGCTGTTAAAAGGACCGTGTACGCTCAACGTCCCGAAGCCATTGGTTCTCGACCCGTACGAGTACGCCGACCAAATACGCCGCCGCCCGGATGGCTATAGCCCGTCGCATCGTAGCTTCCTCAGCGTCTCGGCAATCATTGCCATCTCGGCGGCGGCGCTGATCGCCGTCGGCGTCGTCGTGATCACTTTGCTCAATGCGTCGGCGAGACGGCGGATGGCGTTTGTCGAAACCGCACTCGAGAGTATGTGCAGTAGCTCGACGCGGTCGGGTAGTATCGTCGCGGGGAAGCTGATTCTACTCGACCCGAAGGCGACATCGCCGTCGCTGCCGTCCCCCGAGTCGATCCTCGACAAGGCAGCCGTGGTCGGGGAAGGCGTGTTCGGGACTGTGTATAAAACAGAGCTCGAACAGGGGAACCCGACGACGACGGTGGCGATAAAAAAGCTTGTTGCGGCGAATACGCTCCAATACCAGGAGGAATTCGACCGCGAAATCCGGATACTTGGCAAGGCGCGCCACCCGAATTTGATCGGTGTGATCGGATACTACTGGACGCCGCGGCTGCAGCTGGTTGTAACTGATTACGCCAATTGCGGCAGCCTCGAGTCGAGGCTGCATGGGCCGGAGAATGCGCTAACGTGGCCGGAGCGGTTCGCCGTCCTTATCGGGACGGCGAAGGGGCTGGCCTATTTGCACCACAGTTTCCGGCCGCCGATCGTACACTACGACATAAAGCCGAGCAATGTGCTACTTGCCGGCGAATTTTCCGGCGGCGGCGTGGTTCCGAAAATTTCGGATTTCGGATTGGCGCGCGTTCTGGCGAAGCTAGACAAGCACGTGGCGAACAATAGGTTTCGGAGTGCGCCGGGATACGTGGCGCCGGAGATGGCGTGCCGGAGCTTGAGGGTGAACGAGAAATGCGATGTGTACGGATACGGAGTGCTGGTGTTGGAGGCGGTGACGGGGCGGCGGCCGGTGGAGTACGGCGAGGACAATGTGGTGGTGCTGAGTGAGCATGTTAGGGTTTTGCTGGAGGAGGGGAATGTGCTGGAGTGCGTGGACGGGAGGATGGGGCCGTACCCGGCGGAGGAGGTGCTGCCGGTGCTGAAGCTGGCGCTGGTGTGCACGTCGCAGATTCCGTCGAGCCGGCCGTCGATGGCGGAGGTGGTGCAGATACTGGAGGTGATCAAGGCGCCGGTGCCGAATAGGACGATGGAGGAGGCTATCTGAGAGGTTGCTTCCATGGCGGTCGGCGTCGCCATTAATGGATGAATTGAATTGAATTAGGGTTGAGTATTGTTGGTTTATTTGGTGATTTGGGGATTGGGTGCTTTTAGCCGTCTGAATTTCGGGTTTATTATGGGTTGGGTATGTTAATTTTGTTTTGTTGTTATTGCAAATATTAATCAAGTACCAAATTTTTAAGATGATTTTATTTTTTTAATTTTATTTTTTCTATAAGTAAAAATCCTCTCTTCGTCTAAAATACCGTGTCTGCTACACTGTAGACACAGTATTTTAAAAGGGGTGTAATTAATAGATAATTAAAAATGTATTAGTAAAAATAATTATCTTATAATATAAATAATTATAAATTAAGATTAAAATAAGTAATTAGTTTAATTAAAATTAAAAAAAATAAAATAAAAAAATTTAAAATGAGATTAAAGTGTGTAATTATTTTAAAAAAAGGAAAGTAACATAGTACGGATAGAAACGGCAACGTGTACATGGTATCTGGGAACGGAGTGAGAAATAAATTGTGGAAATGAGATAAATCCAATTTTAGGACTTTGTATATTAAAAGGACTACTATGATATTAACATAAATTATTATAAACCTAACGTTTGGAGTTGATTTAGAATTAATAAAAATTTAAATAATACTCCCCCGTCCCATCTCCAGGTGTTCGTACGAGTATTTTTATTTGTTTTATATTTAATGTTATTATTTTTTTTTAAAAAAAAAATTATATTCTTTAATTTTATTTTAAATTTTTTAATTTATAATATTTTAATTATAATTAAAATAATTAGTTATTTTAATATTAATAGTCTCTTCGTTCCTATAAAAATTATGCATATTGTTTACACACGGAATTGAGATAATGTAGATTAATTATTTAGATATAGAATTATTATTTAATTATTAAAATAAATTTTAAAATTTATGTTCAAATATTTTTAATACTAACTTGTAACCGGTGCTATGCACGATTATTTTTATATTAAATTATAGGATAAATTATATAACATTTTTTTGTGTTTTAAGTAAAAACGCACCAAACACTCTATATTTTATTTATTGTGTGAAACTTTTGTGTTAATGTAAAATTGCACGAAACATTCCTATTGTTCAAAATTGATGTTCGACTCTAAATAAAGACCTAAATTATGCAAATTTTATAAAAAAAAAAGTAAAATATCTTAAATAATTTTTTTGATAAAATAAATAAATAAATAATTGATCAATAATTTATTTTTTACAATTTTTATAAGAATCAGATAACAATTTGTCTTAAAAACTATAAAATGAAGAATTATTTATTTATTTATTTTATTCAAAAAAATTATTTAAGATATTTTACATTTAGGAGACGGTGAGATACTACCGTTGATAATTTCATCCACAATGATGAAAGCCAAAATGAATGAGTTGAAGAACAATACAAAGTATTACACGTGGGATGACCAGTTCAAGGATGGAGAAGAAGTCTGTTTGGATGGCTCTTGAGGGACCTTCATCCTAAATTCTCAATTAATAATGTCTAGCCAAAGACGTTAAAAAAAGACGCTTTTGGAAGGCAACCCAATGTTTTTTTTTTTTTTTTTGCTTTCTGTTGTGTGTTTAGTGTGTTAATTTGTTTGTCTTTACTTTCCGTAGGTGATGGTGATCTTAGCATGCCCGAGACAATATTTTGAGTATTTAAGAATGACATTTCAGCAGGTGGCATGACTTTAGGCATGCCCATGCCAGACTCTCAGCATGCCTATGAAAGATGAATTTATCAAAGTTTTTTAAGATCTTGGGCACCACCCCCAACCGGTTCAGGGAAGTCCTATTATTTTTTGCTCTTTTTCTTTTTCGAGATGCATTTACATTGAAGACAATGTGCATAATGGGTGTGGGGGAAAATATCAATTGTTTACCCGATTGCATGACTGACTTGTGTGCTAAAGACTTGTGTGTATTTCTTTTCAACTTGACATATTTTCATTAGATGACTTTCCGATGAAGTAGACGATAAATATGCCGAGAATGACATGTTTTACCAAATGTGAGATTTGGGTCTAATAGCGCATTCACTATAAATGCTATATATTTTTTCTTGTGTATGATTGTTGCTCTAAACTTAGTTTTCTAGAACTTGCATAGCAATGCATGTCGAATTTGATTTTCTAGGAGTCTATGTGATCAATATGATAAGGGCATTAGGATGAACCATTTGGCCTATTATATTTCCTACCTAAAAAATTAATTACATAGTGAACCCCTTTGAGCTTGAATATCCTATTTTTATTGTTAAAAGAACCGCATTTTAACCTATGACTTTTCTTTTTAAAGCCAAAATTTATTTGAACCTTTAGTCAAAGGAAAATGTTTCGAGCTTATATTATTTTAAAGTCTCCAAGGGAATGAGAAGTTATGTCTATTGTTTGTTATTCATTGCTTATGAGAGAAAAGTAAAGGGACTGAGAAAAGATTGAGAAAAGCAAAAAAAAAAAAAAAAAAAAAGGCACAAGTTTTATTATAGCGGGAATGGGCATTTTTGTATTAACTTTTCGATTGAGTTGGGTGTACTACGGGACGTAGTTTGCATGAATAAAGTTTTAAGTGTGCATGTTAATGAAGGAATAAGTGAGGAATGAGAAGTTATACATAGAGTCTATATATTATAAAATGAGCTTGGAATATTATCTTTTTGACTTATTTAGTCGAATAATATCCTATATCCTACCTCAACCTAAAGCCCCGTTACAACCTTATTTAAAGAACCTCTGATTTTTTGCATTAGATTTCGAAGAATTAAGAGATGTGATCAATATGGGATAATCATTTTTACGATGCGACACGAGTGACTTGTTAATCCATATAATTTGAGTGCTGGGTGTATACACTTTATTTCTAGTGAGATTATGTTGCGCTCGGTGTATTTTGAGTAAGTTCTTGCGTATGCTTGTTTGGTTTATGCTTGAGGGCAAGCATGGTTTTGGTGTGGGGAAATTGATAATGCATATACTGTCTTATATTTATATAGATAAATTATAAAATATAATTAATATTATGGATAAATTTCTACTCATTTTGGCATGTTATTGATTGGTGCAAAGGAATGGAGTAATTCACGCCCATGCCATGTTTTCGATCAAAGAATTTTGGAAAAGCTTGATCTAAACTTGCATGTCAAGAAAAGTGATGGATTACGGGGATTGAGACGTAATTGTAGGCATGATGATTGAGATTGAGTGATTAAAGGTGCAATTGAAGAACCGATCATCTATAGAAAAATGGGGGTCAAGGCATGGGATGAGATATCACAATTCACACTCACATTTCATAGTCTTAAGTGAAGGACTGAGAATGTTGTTTGGAGAGAAAGCACTTTCGGATGATCATCAAGTTTACTGTTTTATTTATTTATAAGCATGAGTAGCTAAATTTCTATTCTAGTCCAAGGTTGAATGTAGATTTCAGATTGAGATTTGTGAGATTGTATTTTGATTTAATCTGAATTTTGTTTAGTAAATTGATATTTGTGCGATTTCTGTGGTTCATGTCTGCAATTGTTTTATTTAATCTTTTATTTTGGCCGGATCTTAGATTCGTTTAGCAATTGTGTGCCAATTGAACATTTACATCCGTAATTGTGTATGTGTTTCATAAAGTGATAAATAGGTTAACAAGCTTAGCCTAGGAATCGCATGATCAAATAATTTAATCTTTTCGTAATTGATTAAATATTTGAATTGGGTTTTTCTCGTGCTATTTTCAATTGAGAAAATTAATTTATGGTCGTACTTAGATTGTTTTTTTTATTAGGGATGCGGTTAATCGGTCGTACCATTGCCACAAATAAAGTAAGTGTTTGTTTGGGGATTGGATTTTAAATATATTATTCATCCCATTTTTTCCACCAAAAACGTCAAATCAAACACCTATTTTTTTCATTTTTTATATTATACTAAAAATCAATTTTACATTCAAAACATCACATCAACACATATTTATATCACATCATATAACTATTCAAATTCAAAATTTTACTATTCAAATCCCACTCAAAATTCAAACCCTCTAACAAACACACCCTAAGGAAAAATTTGACGTTATGATCGTATTTAATGTCCATAACCAATCTATCAGTTGAATAACAAGATTATTTAAAATCAATGATCGAATCTTTAATCCAGTTTCTTATTCACTCCTTGGGCTAGAAGTTTAATTTATTTGAAATCAAAATTTTATTTCTCATATCTTATTTTAATTATTTTAGTGAATTGCTAATCCATCCCCCAAATACTTGAATGTGTGACAAAAATAGGAATTAAACTTCACGGTCCATGTGGATCGATCTCGGCATCACTTGCTACACGTAGTGTTAGAGAATTTTTATTGGAAGCACCGAGGCTATCAAATATATATATATATATAATTATGTTATATCCAATAATTATTTTGAATTAAAATTTTATTAGTCAAAAGTCAAACTAAAAAAAAAAAAAAAAAAAAAAAAAAGACACAACCTAGATTCGTATTCCTTACGTCCCACATAATTTGTCCTTATTTTCTATTTTCGTCTTCCTATATAATTTGTTCTTTTCTTTTTTAGAAATATAATTATACACTTTAATCACATTTTAAATTTTAAATTTTAATATTTTTTTTTAATTTTAATTAAATTATTTAGTTATCTTAATCTTAATTTATAATTATTTTTACTAATATATTTTTAATTACTTATTGATTATGTTTTACCTAAATTTTTGTGTCTATATTGATCCACCGACATTTCCTGGAATGGAAGGAGTAATTAGTAGAATTAGAAAGTGAAAAAACATGTGGAAAAGCAAAGCACCAGTCCCAACTCCAAGATCCAAACTCAAAACTGAAACAACCATGGATCCCCGGCGGATCACTCTCAGGCCGTTCAACCTCTCCGACGCCAGCGACGTCCTCATCTGGGCCGGCGACGACCGTGTAACTCGCCACGGCCGGTGGCCGACCCTCAAATCCCTAGAGGAGGCCACAACTTTCATCCAACAAGTCTGCATGCCTCATCCCTGGCGCCGCTCCATCTGCGTCGACGGCCGCTCCATCGGATTCGTCTCGGTGTTTCCGGCGGAGGGCGACGACAGGTTCAAGGCCGACATGGGATATGCAATCGCCTTCGAGTATTGGGGCCGCGGGATCGCCACCGCGGCCGTGAAGATGGCCGTGAAGATGGTGTTCGAGGACTTTCCGGCGATTCTCCGGCTGCAGGCGATGGCCGGAATCGAGAACACGGCGTCGCAGAGGGTGCTGGAGAAGGCTGGATTCACTAAGGAGGGATTGCTTAGGCAGTTCGTTTGCATCAAAGGCAAGGTTCTAGATGTTGTCATCTATAGCTTTCTTTCCACTCATCGTTTTGGTTGAAATTAATTTGATCACAACCTTTTTTTTTAAATGAAAGCGTATTTATTTTCGGGAACGGTTAGGGCACTGAATTGAAAAAATCAACACCCGTAATATATACAAACAGCACACAGTCTTAATAATGACAGGTGGTGTTATTTCATAATTATAGTGTGTTGTATAACAGCATGTGGTGTGCTGAAATCAAGTATTGATTGTGTTCTATAAGATTATAACATGACATGTGTTGTTAGTTAGTATTGTTAGTTCATGTATTGTATTTGTATTATATGAATGCAGACAGTGTGTTGCCGATAGTAACACAGTGTATACACCGTGTGCTGCGGTGTATTGTCAACACAGTGTTGAACTCTGTAGTCGCCGCCTTTATTTTCAATCTTATTCAATATGGAAAATTTTAATTTTTAATTTAAATACTTTCCGTCTCAATATAATAGTTTTGTTTACCATTTTTGTTCGTTTCAAAACAATATTCTCACTTTCATAAATAGTCATATCACCGTAAAACTATTCTTATTTTTTCATTATTAGTACAGAATTGTCGTTACTTTTTACATTAATATACTCATAAGAGCAAAAAAGTCATTTATGTTTACTTTTTACCAACTACCACTATAATATTAATATTTTTAAAATTTTGTGTCCAACACAATAAGACTATACTTTTGAAATGGAGAAAGTAATATTTAACATAATATATATATAAATATATTTTTGTCTTGCCTCACTTAAAAATATCAATTTCAATATACTAAAACTAAAATAAATTTTTATTTTTTTATCTAAATTATAAATATGCTATTATAGATATAATTAATTTATATTTAAAAATATAAATATTAAAATTACTTTACCTATTTTATTAATTAATAAAATATTATTATTTTTAATATATTAAAAAAAAAACTCAAATAGTACATCCTAATGAGTCAAAAGGAGTATATAATATAAAAGAAAAAATATAAATAATAGTAAATAATTTTGGCGTACAGTCTAAGTTAACGAATTGTTTAGTAGCATTTAATAAATTTTCTTTGGGTGTTTTTTTTTATATATATATATATATATTAACGATGATTTGTTGTTGATGGTGATATTTATATTAAAAAAATTAAAAGAAGCAACAAAAAGTGGCCAAAATTGCTCAAATCTCTAAATTGATGGGTGGATGGGTGTATTCATTTGAGATTTTATTAAATTTTAAAAAGTTTATGAATTTATGTGGATTTAGAAAATCCACTCTTCAGAGTTTAATTAATTTTATTAATTAATTTAAATGGATTCTTATAAATTTTATTAGAATTTTTTTATAAATTTATATAAATTTTGTAGAATTATAAAATATATTTTTTTTTATTAGTTTATATAATTGTATAAACTTATGTAAACACAAATTTCACAAATATAATATATTTATTATAAATTATTATATTTTATAGAATATAAATAATATTAATAAATAATATATAATTATTAATGATATAGAAATATTATAACATATATAATGCTACTATTTTGTATATTATATTTTAAATTTTATAATTTTTATTATATTATCATTCAATATATCAATTTATTTTTATATTTTTTATTAGTTAATATTATTATTCTTATGTAATAAATTTTGTAAAAAATAAATATATAGATTAAAAGATTAATATATCACACACATTTATTATTTTTATATTATATGTAGAATTTCTTATACTTTAAAAAATACCTCTTCAAAATATTTCACAAAACAATCACAACAAAAATAAAAAAACTACATTTACAATTTTGCATAAAAAATAAAATTAAAAAATAAATTAAATATAATTAACTGTTCAACAAAGAAAATATATATATATTTAGTTAACTTTACCGACAATATAAGGTATTCGATAATTAAAAAAAAAACAGTAATACATATTTATTATATAATAGTAATTTACAAATATTATATTTATAATATAAAAATACATATTTTTTTAAAAAAAGTTGATAATAATTTATTAATATATTTTATTTTTAAATTATTAATTTTATTATATATTTAAAATAATATTAATAAATATTATCATATTCTTTATCACTTATGGGGCGTTTGGTACAGAGAATGGAATTGGCAGAGAAATGAGAGTAGAGAATAGAATTAGAGAGAAATGAAATAGAGTAGAGAATGAGAATTCATTTGAGAAATCTAAAAAAAAATGCAGATATATGAATGATCGAACAAAAATAAACGATTAACCCGATAAAAAGAGAGTTTTAACTAATGAAAATTCATAAAAAATATTTTTGGTAAATTTTTATTTAAAAAAATTATAAATTATATACGATATTTTTTAAGATTATATTTTAGTACAATTTTTTAAAATATCGTAAAAATTAAATACTTTAAAAATAAATTAACTTTGTTTTTTGTAAAATTAAAATAATATAATTTTAAAAAAATTATAAAAATTAAATAGTATAAACAAATTTTAAAAATTAAAAAAAAACATAGCAACATCATTTCTCTGCATATGGGAGAGAAATGAAAACAGAGAAATGGAAATGATTTATTTCTCAAGTTCTATTTCTCTGATTCAAACAAACAAGAGAAATGATACCATTTCTATTTCTCTGCTCTCATTTCTCTGTACCAAACACAACCTTATATATTATCAACAACAACAATAATAAATAATAATAATAATAATAATAATAATAATAATAAGAATAATTTTTTTTAAGAATCCATTAAAATCTCTCCTTATTATGAGAGATTTTTTTATTTATAATTCTCCATTAAAATTCAATGAAATCCAAAAGTCCGTTGATTGTTTAATAACTCAAAATTTTAAAAAACTTTTAAAGGTCTTAGATTGAATACCTACTTCCATTTTTAAAGTTTATTAAATACATTCAAATTTTAAAAGTCCAATAAAATCTTATAGAATTGTGATTAAATACACCCCTCAATGTAGATGTCTCATAATTGACTGGGCAGTGGAGTGGGGAAACCCTTCTTTCCGCCTTATTTACCTTAAAAATGGTGATTCATTTATACTTTAAAAAATATTGTATAAAGGGATGTTTTTTGGCGGTGGAATTTAATGTAATATTTTTTAAAGCATAAGGGATGTCATAAAACTTTTAAAGTATAAGAAAATTTTATATTGAATTTCGAAATCACATATAAATGATGAACAATTTTATACATAAAGTGAGAGGAACAAGAAATGAATAATGTTTTTATTCACCAACTTCTTTGTGAACTTTAGATGTGTTAGATTTGTATTTAAATAGTGATTGAATTTAGAGATTTTATAAAAAAATTAATATATTTTTATTTTAAAAAATAGGATTATATAATACTCCTTATGTCCTATTTCAAAGTACTTTTTTTATTGTCCCACTTAAAGGTACTATTTTTTATTTTTTTAGTAAAAATAATCATTCACTAATATCAAAATACTCTTAATTTTTATCTAAATTACAATTATACCACGACATACAAATACTTTATACAAAAGGTCAAATGGCTAAAATGTCAAATTTCTTACACACTTCTACTAACTAATAAAATACTATTATTTTTAATTTACTACGAGACCTTAAATAGTCATTTTCAAAATGGATTGAGGAAGTAAAAAGAAATTAAATGTGGTATATATTTTAGAAAGGATGAATTATCTCAATAAAATATACTCTCTTCATCATCCTTTTTAAAATGATTTTTGAAATGTTATAATAGATTAAAAAATAATAATATTTTATTAGGTAATAGAAGTGTGTAATAGATTTTGATATTATTGACTTTTGGTATAATGTACTCCCTCCGTCCCAACTATTTTGTCTTATTTAATTTAGGCACAGAGTTTTAGATATTATGTAATTAGTAAGTAATTAAAAAGTGTATTAGTAAAAATAATTATGATTTAATAAAAATAATTATAGATTAAGATTAAGATGAATAAATAGTTTAATTAAAATTTAAAAAAAAATTATAAATTATGAATTTTAAAATGTGATTAAAGTGTATAATTATATTTCTAAAATAATAACAAATAATATGGGACGGACGGAAATATAAATAGTGGATTAAGTAGGACGGAGGGAGTAATTGTATGGAGTAAAAATAATTTTTGGTCTCATTCAGTATCATAATTATCAATTTTGATCCTATTGAAATTTTTTTATCAATTTTGGTCTCATTTAAATGAAAATTTATCAATTTTAGTCTTATGATGGTTGGTGAGAGTGAACACGGTCGTGTTGAATGACTCAAAGGGTGACTGAGCGTCCCAGACAGCCAACACGGCCGTGTTGATTAGCCTGCACTGAAGAACACGGCCGTGTTCCAGCCCGTATTCGTGCCCGTGTTTAGCCATGTTCCTGTCCATGTTCATGAACTTGTTCTCAATACAGTCATGTTCTAAGTCATGTTCATGACTATGTTCTTAACACAATCATGTTCACGGCCGTGTTCTTCAGTGCAGGATAATCAACACGGTCGTGTTAGCTGTCTGGGACGTCCAGTCACCCTTCTAAGTTATCCAACACGGCCGTGTTTAGTCCCAGTCAACTACCATGGGATTAAAATTAATAAATTTTCATTTGAGTTGGACCAAAATTGATAATTATGTTTGTTTGGGGGATTGGATTTTAAATACACTATTCATCCCATTTTTTCCCCCTAAAAACGTCAAATCAAACACCTATTTTTCATTTTTTATTTTATACTAAAAATCAATTTTATATTGAAAACATCACATCAACACCTATTTATATCACATCATACAATTATTCAAATTTAAAATTTTTACTATTCAAATTTCAACTCAAAATCCAAACCCCCAAAACACACCCGATTTTTACTTAAATTACAAATATACTATTATACATACAATTACTTTACATATAAAATCAAATGGCAAAAATGTCAAAACTCTTACACACTTCCACTAACTAATAAAATATTATTCCTTCTGTCCAAGAGTAAATTTTCCATTTTGTCATTTTAGTATGTCCAAGTCAAAATTTCTCATTTTTTTTATAGAAAGAGTAGCTATAATTAAATATCAAAATAACTTACTTTCTACTTTTTCACATTTTTTTTTAATTTCATGTCAATGGCAAAATAGATATTGCACTATTTTATTACACTATATATCTATAAAACACTAATTTATTTTAATCTGCGTGCAAATGTCAAATCGAAAACTTACCACCGGACTGGGGGAGTATTATTTTTTAATCTACTATAAAAATTTCAAAGA